GTGAGACAAACGATAATACACTTTATTATTGCATCCACCACGATGAATAACAACAACCTTTTCCTCGATAATTTTATAATTAGAACAGGTAGTCACGAGGTCGAGTAAAATGAAGTATTAATATCACGCGTGTTTTCGGAAGTTACAGAAATTACCCGATTTGAGCAGCGACGTCTGCAATTTCGTAACTTCCGGAAACATTAGTGATATTAATCCTTTATTTTACGAGGAATTATGTGACTATTTGTTTAACGAAGACTTCATTGCTGCGGAATATATGAAAGACGGGAAGTTGTTGAGGGACGAACCATTAGAAAAGTTTAGGGGGGAGGGGGGTGGNGGTGGGGTGGATATTTACTGTCGCAATTTTAATCTTAACTCGCCACAATCTGATTGCCTGGAACAGGCTTCAAACAAATATTTCTTTTATCTTTCACAGAATCGTTTTGCTTTACTGTCAAAATTATACTCAGGAGGAAACCTAACCAAGTATCAGACACATTTATAAGCGCCTGTTGCCCAACTGATGGGATTGCGTTGCATTTTTTGTTTGATGTCTAGGGAAATAACAGCTTTATTTATTCCTTCCCAAGTGAATCAAGGTTTCAACTAGGATTCTGTGTGTGGCTCTTCAGTAACCATGATATGGGGCCAAAGGGCCTATTCTGCCAGGGGGGTCTTGGGGGGTAGGCCCCAGGCCCCCCCAGAAAAATTTGCAAAATTGAAGCGTTTTTGGTGCGTTTTCCACGATTTTCAGCCGATAATTTCAATGTATCGATTGGACTTGAATGATAGTGTGTCGTTTACTTTGTCAAAAACCTAAAGCAGATTGAAACAGCCTATGCTCAACGCATCAGTTGTGTTAACACCTCCGTGATTGTCTTTTACGACGTTTGTCCAACGTTGATCTTAGCGGCCATCTTAGGGGAAGTGTTTCGGTTCGCCATGGGTGTGCACATCTGTTGTATATATTCATGAAATATGATATTCTCTACGCACACATGTGTTAGTTTTTATCTGGTCGAGGGTAACAGTAATTTTCCTGCGAATGCACCGAACAACTTGATTATATCACGCTACTCGAAGTGCACCCTTACAACACCTGAATCGAAAATCTTTTAGAATAAATATATCAAAATTTTGCCCAACTATTTTTGGATGCTATTATGAGACTGACGTTCCTTTATCTATACGTAATAAGCCAATCAGAAAACTATTTTAAAAAGCACTTTACCAGTTTTATTTTGTTCAGTATTAATAATTCTAACGTCATTCCTCTCTTGTACTAGTTTAAAATAAATGTATTTAATTAAAGGGCATATAATTAGGATACTATATTTTGCCCTTTCCACTTCTTTTTCGTTACACTTGTTTGTTAACAATATTGTATTTATGTCGTCAAGTGGAGAAAAAAAAAATACAAATGTTAATACTTCAACAACAAAGTTTGTGTTACAGGCGTTTCCCAGCCGATACAATTGACAGCTTGAAAAGATCCTATTTTCTACATTATTATATTAAAAAGCAACAGTTAAAATTCATATGATTGCAACGTAAACAATATTAAAGCGGAAGTTAATTTTAAGGGTTTGACGGGTATCATTCGTAAACCGTCAAACATTTTCCGCGTTTTATGCAGATTTCAAACAATTATCAACCTGCTGTTTTCAAATTTGCTGTTGGCGCTAAATGGCACTAGATTTTTGAAGCCTACTCGTTAAAGTCAACGTTTGAGCGCGTTTTCGTAACGGAGAAACTGACAATGGAAATATTATTGGAAAGGACTTTAGAAAGTCTATCTTGAAATCTGAGTATGTGTTTCGAAAACACAGTTCGGTTTCCCATTTAAGTTCACTTTCGGAAAAACAGAAGCGGAATATATCCAAATATGTCTTCGGAAGAAGCAGTGATTCAGTCTACAGGAGGAAACATAACTGATGCCGTAAAGAACGTCTTGGTTATTAACTGTGCAGTTAATATTCCTCTCGCCATAACATCAATAATCGGGAACTCCCTGGTGTTACATGCAGTTTGGAAGACGTCAACACTTCGCTCGCCATCTGTGGTCTTACTTTGTGGCTTAGCGCTTTCTGACCTCGCTGTCGGTGCGGTTGTACAGCCCTTTTTTATTGCAAAAGATTTAATAGGACTGCTCTCTCACGACCAATCGCTGAAAACTTTATTCTTGAGGATTTACAATGTACTGGCTTTCTATGTGTGCGGAATTTCTCTATTTACGATCGCCGCAATTAGCATGGACAGACTTGTCGCCATTCAGAAGCCTTTACGTTATCCAAGTCTTGTCACAATTCCCCGAGTAAGGTGCGTTCTCTTGGCTGTCTGGACAACTTGTGCGATTTTAGTAAACGCGCAGTTTTGGAACGACATGATTTATCTCGTTTTAGTTGCAGTTGTAATATGTGTTTGTCTGTTCATCTCAGCTTTTTCTCATATAAGAATATACAAAATTGTTCGTGATCATAAGAGTAGAATTCAAATTCAACGAGAAGCAGTGGAAACTAACACAGTGACTGTGAATGTGAACAATATGTTAGGGCTAAAAAGATCTGCTTTGAACGCCTTTATAGTTTTTCTTGTACTCATTGTTTGTTACTGCCCTTATTTTATTGTTTTCGTCGTAACTTCAGTTTATCCAGTCAATGTAATGCTTGGCAGATCCCTTGCTTCAACTGTAGTGTTCATTAACTCGGCTTTAAATCCATTTTTGTATTGTTGGCGAATACATGAAATACGGGAAGTTGTTAAACAGACTTGTCATAAACTAGTTTACTGCAAATGAAAAAAAATTTTTAGTCTATGTTTGTACAGCGTAAAAAGTAAACTTGAATCCCATAGTCCATTTTTGTCGTGATAATTTTATAATTAGTACAGGTAATCACGAGGGCGAGTAAAATGAAGTATTAATATCACGCGTGTCGTGTCATGTTGATTAATTCACCTTCACATTTCATTACCGAGCTTAAAATTCACCATCTTTATTAACTTATCATTATGTGACTATTTGTTTAAAACACAAAGCACTGTGTGCATTGAACAGCTGGAATGACGAAAAGACTTGGTTGCTGGCGAACATATGAAATACGGGAAGTTGTTAAGGAAGAGACCATTAGAAAAGGGATGGGGTGGGGGGGGG